TTTTTGTTTAATGAAAGCTGAGATTTTCAGATAGCAACATGATTCCAGCAATCGAGGGCTTTAAGAAATACACAGTCCCCGAGCCCCCACCCTAATTGCAAGACTCTTAATAACACTGCAAGAGTTGGCAATGCTGCATCTGCAGTTTCTTTACTCTTTTGCTTTTTCTCAGCTGGGATACTGAGTCCAGAATGGTAAATTTCATGTTCTTTCTCAGACCAGTTTCACATCCTGATTCTCAGGCACTGGCATAATGCTGATCCATTTCAGTGCCCAGCCCCGCCGGGGACGGTTGACACATAAATGTACTTTACATTAAAAGGAATATAAAAACATTTCTCTTCACAATGAGCTTTGTGCCAGTTGGACAACATCCATGTTTAGGCCACTTCTCCTTTATTAAAGAAAAGGCTAAACAGGATTTCAGATTACAACAAAGCAGAAGTCGTCCCAGCCAAACGCAGCCCTGATACAGCAAAAATCCCTGTCATAAAACTGTTAGTCTTAAAGGTGCCACAGGACCCTCTGTTACTTTTGTCATAAAACTGCCTCCCAGAAGTCTCTGCAGCAGGGACTTCTAGTAAAAAATTCCCACTGGAGCAGCTGACCTGGCGATGACATCATCGGGAATATTTTGCTAAAATCCCCAAAAAAGGCCTACGTGACATGGCTGTACAAACAGTGTCCCCAAAAGGAGACTCTCCTTTAGCTCAGGTCAAGGGCACCAAAACAGGGGGACCAGGGGGCCATGCTAGCCATAGGTGTGAGTGATGGGGGGTGAGGGGGCAGAGAGGAGCGAATGGGGGTGGGGCCTCAGGGGGCGGGGCCACGGTTCGGGTGCCTGTGCGCCCACCCTATACCTTTAGGGCGCTTCTGCCACTCCTGGCTCAGGTGCCAGGGCCCTGAGATTTTGGAGCAGGACAGTCTGTGGCCAGCATCGTGGCAACTGTGAAGCCCCAGACAGCAATGGAGGTGTCTGATTCCAACTATATTCATAATAAAGAATGATGGAAGAGAAAGACAGAGAGTATGGAATTACATTTATTTTAAAAGTTTCCTAACCCTTAAAAAATCCCCTTGGGTGCTTTGTCTTAGGCTCTCAATGGCTCGAGCCCAAGAATTGCTGAAGTCAGCAGCCTCATAGCCCTGTTGTGATTCTCTCATTAACACAGTTCAATTAAAAAATAAAGTTCTACGTCTCAGATCACTTTCCAGGCCCTGCGTGAAGCGTTGGCCTTGCAGTGAAATGAAGATCTCAGACTTATTTGTACCAATTTTGTATGACATATCCTTCTGCTACATCCTAAATGCGGCTGTGTCTTAGACGTGGGAATGTACACATCACAACCTGCAGCATGTTGCAACAGGTTTGCTTAAAAATCTGTTGTTGATTCTTTACTGATTTTCTAACCCGTTTCAAGGCGCAGTGTCCAGTGCTTGTCTTTATCCTGTTGCAGAAACTCTTTCCCTGATTTTGGAAAGTTCAGAGGTACAGTTTGCCAAGAAACGCTCACGTGTCCCACTCCCTTACCCCAGTTTTACACCCGTGTCACCCCATTGACTTCACCGGAGTTCCTCTGCTGTAGACTGGTGTATATTGAGAGGAGACTCAGGCTCTGTTTGTGGGTTTCCTCCATGGCAGTGACGGACAGGGACATGTAGGTTAGAGGAGTTGTAATAATTTGCGGCCACAACAGACCTCATGGCTGTCAGGTGCTGTGCACACCACCACCATGTGGACTTTGCAGTTGTCGGCAGGCATGAAATTCAAGTTATTCTGCTCCATTAACAAGGGAGGCTAATCGTTAGCAGCAATATGCACAGCAAACGTGCCTAAATTGGAGCAGAATCATCATCTGCGATGTAGAGATGCAGATGGCAGAGACAGCGGGGCTAGAACACCAGACTGGAACCTGTATTCTTTGCACACTGTTACTCCACATTTAAGATGATGGTAGCTTTGGTCCCCATGTAAAACTTCCAGGAGAGGAATTTGGCTCACGGGTCTCTTAGGGTACGTCTACACTACCCGCCGGATCGGCGGGTAGCGATCGATCTATCGGGGATCAATTTATTGCGTGTAGTGTAGACGTGATAAATCGATCCCCAATCGCTCTCCCGTCGACTGCTGAACTCCAGCTCGGCGAGAGGCGGAAGCAAAGTCGACGAGGGAGCCGCGGCCGTCAATCCCGCGCCGCGAGGACGCAAAGTAAGTGATTCTAAGTCAGTCTAAGATACGTCGACTTCAGCTACGCTATTCTCCCCCCCCCACAGTGTAGACCAGGCTCCAGTGGCCAATCTCTTGTGTAGAAGAGCACTCTAAATAGCAGATTATCCTGGGGATGGCCGGTGGCTCTCTGGCAGCTTAAATGAATGGGCAATCTGTGGAAGCATGTGAGGATCAAAAGAGGGCGATCTCTTACTCCGGGCATCACCAGGAGTTGCCATTTATTGCCAGTCATGGTGAAGTTTGATGTTCTTAAAGCCCTAGCTCCTAGAGGCCTGTGATTATGTGAGAATCTCATCTGTTGTTCTTTTTTCTTTTAAGTACATTTCTCACCTTGGTCATGATTGGAGAGAAAATCTTGCAGACATGACCCCCAGAAGCTCAGAAGAATAAAAAGACCCCAAACTGTATTATTTGTAATGATTTTTAAGCCAACCTCGTGACTTTTTGGAGCCTGAGGCGTGATTTTTTGAACACTGAGGATTGGGGATACCAAGGCAATTCCATAGCACCCTCACTGTATCGGGGTGACCACTGCTTCTGTTAGACTGTAGGTGTCGCAGCACAGGGATGGTCTCTGCCTGTGTCCTGTACAGCAATGGTTCTCAACCAGGGGTACACATAGTGACTGGCAGGGACATGTAGGGCCGAAGAGGAGAAGCAGAAGGAGGGGGAGAGAGAAGAAGCAGAGAGGGAGGCAAACGAAGGGGGAGAGATCTTCCAGTGGGTACATCAGCTTATCCAGATATTTGCCTAGTTTTACAACGGGCTACATAAAATGCACTGGCGAAGTCAGTACAAACTAAATTTCATACAGACAGTGACTTGTTTCTCCTGCTCTATCTACCATACACTGAAATGTAAGTACAGTATTTATATTCAAATCCATTTATTTTACAACAGGGTGGATTTGATTTAAATCATGATTTACATCACTAGTCAGGAAGACTCGATTTAATCTTGGTTTTCTACATAAAAGGGCATTCTTGTTGGTTGTTATAACCTTAATACATATTCTTCACAACTCAGAGATAGATGTAGGTTTCATTTTTAGAAGGTACACACTATACATTTTTAAACAGTGATTTATTTTGAAAACTTTTCAGATTAGTTTTACAGCTATATCAGAAAATGAATGATTGTTTGGTTATTTCATTTACCAAAGGTAATTGAAGCAGATATTTATGAAGTCATTGGGAGGTGAACTATCTCCAATTCAACAGGTTAATCATTAATATTTGGAGGATTTTCTTGCCATGCTGTATTAGGAGGAGAACATCACCAGACAGATATTTAAATTGTTTTATTTAACTAAAACAACAACATTAAGTATTCTGGATTTTTTCTTCAACAGCAAACATATAATATTTTAACAAAACAAGCATATGTCCCTCACTTCTCACATTTATCTCCAGACCTCTTCTCCTTGTCCAGATCTATTCCACCCGCAACAATCTTCTATTCATTGAACTTTTTGAAACTTTGCACGTTTAGAGAGAGGTAAGGGATTGACTCTGTGTACACAGATTTTCTGAGGGACAATAGGGTTGAGGTCTGTTGTTTCTCACCTCTATATATTATTTATTTATTTTAAAAGATTTTTGCTGTTAACAAGCTCTGGAGACACAAATGCACAGTTTGAGAACTGCAAAACTAAGCATCTTTGATGGTATCTTCTAGACTGAGCACTGAGTCCCATTGGGTAGATAGAAAGATTAACCTAAATAATCTATACAGAGGCCCCTGGACCCCCATAAGATTGAGTCCCTAATCCATGAACTATTGGAACTCATTTACAAAACTTTTCTTAAACATGACATGAATATGTTGTCTCATATCATAGAATTAGAATTTATAATCCCTATTCCATGATGAGATATCTTTGAGCTATAATGTATCTTAATTAAAACTATCTTTAGCTAGGTTTTTTCCTTAAAAAGCATTTTATCAAAAAATCCGATTTAAATAAAAAAATCGGATTTTTTTTTAAATCATTGATTTTTATCCACCCTGTTTTACAATTATATGGTAAAAATGAGAAAGTCAGCACGTTTTCAGCAAGGGTGTGCTGTGACACTTTTGTATTTTATGTCTGATTTTGTAAGCAAGTCGTTTTTAAGTGAGGTGAAACTTGGGGTACGCAATCAGACTCCTGAAAGGGGGACAGTAGCCTGGAAAGCTTGAGAACCATTGCTGTCCAGCACCAGACACCCTGGCAGCGAATGTGAGCATGCTCCTTTGTGGGTATTGCAGTCACATCTTGCACAGTGGCAGGTGCCCCGAGATCCCAGTGCAGATAGGCAGAATTCTGGACAAAGGGGATTCACAGACTCCAGTGGGGTTCCCCTGTTCCAGCTGAGCTGGTCTGGCACGGGCACCCCTTCTCCTGGGCCTGTAGAGCTGGGACATGTTGCTTCTTTAAGAATTTTCCCCACCCCCACCCTCACCCTCACCCTTCTGAGTCCATGCCCTTCCCCTGCCCTCCCCCACCGGGGAGGCAGACGCTGCCCCTTTAAGACCTGCCCCTCCCCACGGGTCAGGGGCGGGACGCGGCTCGTCTCGCAGGTGTTGCCAGACGTGATTGATACAGAGCGTTCTGAGCAGGGAGGGGCCGCGGCGGGAGTGGAGTGACGGGGAGAGAGCGACCAATAGGGAGGCAGGCGACGGGGTCAGCCGGGCCAATGGGCGGGCGAAGTGGGCGGGACAAGGCTGGGGTCTGCCAGCTGGCGCTGGTGTTCGGGATCGATCGGTGGCTGCGGCTGGCCAGGGCGGCCCCGGCTCCCATGGGCCGGCAGTGAGTGAGTGAGCGGGCGGGGCGCGCCCGGGGCCATGCCCAGGCGGCTGCCGGGGCCCCCTGCGGGCCCCCACGGGGAGGATTTCTCCTTCGTGAGCCCGCTGGTGAAGTACCTGCTCTTCTTCTTCAACCTGCTCTTCTGGGTGCGTGGGGGCGAGAACTGGGGCGGGCAGCTGGGGGGCACCTGGGGCAGGGGGTGGGCAGCTGGGGGGCACAGGGGAAGGGAGCGGGCAGCTGGGGGGCACAGGGGCAGCCAGCTCCCTCCCTTGGCAGAGTGTGGGGGGCATGGTGCGTGTTGGGGGGTGATTCCCCTGTGTGGAGCAACGGGGGTCCAGCAGGGCATGGGGCTCCCAGGGTACTGCCATGCCTGGGGGGCCTGGCAGGGATGATCCCTCAGGGCAGAGGTGTGGGGGGATCTGGAGGGGAGGGCGGTGAGACGTTCCGTGGGCGGAGAAAAATGACCCCATAAAATCCAACCCAGTTAATGTTCTCTTCATCCCAGCTCTGTGCAGGGCTCACCTCTCTTTAAGGAGCACGGTCAGTTTCTTTTTATCCAGGTACTGGAGGAAGCACTCTGTTTTTTTTCCCTCTTTCTCCCCACTCGCTCTTTGCCTGCTCATTAATTTTGGCTGGGGGGGGGGGGGGAGTTGATATTTTTATTCCGAACAAAACCAGTAGCCGAGATACTGTCCAGACCAAAATTGTACATGTAAAAAACTTTTCCCTGAGCTTCTGAAAGGAAAACCGAAAGAAGGGGAAAATTCTCATTTACTTCACCTGCACCTGAAAGGGGACTGGCTTCACTTTTGCCAGTGCCCTTCAGGGCTGGCCTTTTGCACCCCAGCATAAAGCTGTTGCGTTCAAATGTTAAAATCCAGGAAACCAGAAACAAAAGGTGTCACAAGTACTCCTGTTCTAGAAACAAAATGCATTTCTAGTCTCAGTAGGTTTCGTAAAACTGTCCGTCTCCCCCACTCCCTCCAACACAGGTGCACGTATGGGAAAGGTTGTCTCTACCCTGCATTGTGAGATGTATCCCTTTAAGAAGGGAGTGGTGCTTAGAATAATATCTAAAAGGTCACTGAATAGTGATCACATCAGTTCGTTCAGCCTGGATACAGTTATAAAGACAGCAACTCTAACCTGGTATGAACTTGGCTGAGAATTGGGGAACAGCAAATAACGCTACACTTAAAGGGGCCTATTTGTATTTTTGGTGGTTGTTTAGACTTAGACTTTGATTATTGTGTGAAATCAGTCAAAAGCGGTGGGGGGGACATGCAAAGGACGTGTCTCACATGCTATGAGTAGTTGGAAAGAGCTGTGCTTCATGGACCTTCAGCCACTATCAGCAGTGGTGTCGTGTGAGGATCTGCTGTCCCTTTGGAGAACCAGCTGAACGTAAATTTGGACACCTGTTGTCTCTGGTGGTGTTCGTTGCTCTATGCATTTCTATTACACAGGGACCGATGTGGTGCTGCATTATTTGAGACTGTGGAATGGGGTGGCCAGTCAGCTATTGGGTGACTTCTTCCCATATCTCATATACTTGTCTGGTTTCTTTTTCTTTTTTCTTTTCCTTTTTCTTCAAAAAAGACCCTTTGAATTAAGGGAGTTAAGAAAAAGCTGGTTCTCCTTGCCCTTCAAAGCCTGTAGAATTTACAGGGACATTGACTTTAAAAATCACACATCCCTCTGGGGGTTTTTAAACCCACTTTGGAGCTTTGTTCCTGTCTTTTACAGTCAGTTGCCACTTTTGCTTTGTGTGGGTTTTCTTGGGACCGACAGGCCAGAGACGGAGAGAGATTCTTTATTTTTAAAGGAAAAGGTGATTGCTACGATGCAACATTGGGGACACTACTTTGAATATTTTTAAATCGACTGTCTTTCCAGCTGATGTTGCCTGTTTAATATTCGTAGTAACTTCACTTCACTGTACTAACTGGAGTAATGTCTTGGGGTAAAAAGAAGGTGCTTTTAGAGCTCAGAATGACTACACATTAGGACTGTATGCCCAGACCTACCCTGTAGGCACCGTCAGGTTGGCTGGTGGTTTCTAGTGCTGCTGAGTGAATTTGTTGCCATGTAGAAAATATCCTTTGCAGTTCAGCTGCTTTGCTCTTTTTCCCAGGTTCGTGTCGTTCAGACAAGTGTTCAGAGCTCACTGGAGTTGCCATAGTCAGAATATCTTTGCTAGGGGACCACAGCGTCTGAGAAGGGATAGACGCAGGCCAGAGGACAAATCAGAGCAGATCTTTCTATCTGGTCAGCCCTGTAAACAGCTCCCTGGTCAGATGTGCCTTCCCCAATGAACTTATGAACCTTACAGCTGTGCCCAGCATATGTGGGGGGCGGTTGCTGGTTGTCTCTAGCACTGTCCTTCCTCTTAACTGGCGGGTCTTTGTTCCCTGAACTGAACATCAGGTTTTCAGTCTCCACAGGTAGCGTTGTGTACAGAAGACTCGGAGATAAAAGAATTCCTGTAAACTGGTGGGGGCTTCAGAGGAACTCCTTTGATCCGCTTGCCAGTGGGGGTCTTGTGCTAGCAATGCACGCGTGTGCACGTACTGTGGTGCTAGTGAAAAGGGTTTGCCTAGCTGCCGAACAGGGACCGCGTGGACAATGGCAGCCTTCCCACAGCCTCCTGCTCATGTTTTCCAACCATGTCCATGGCCACCTTGGAGTAAAAGCAGTTCAGTCTCCATGGCACGTTCGTTCCTTGTCACCTCTGCTGAGAATGTGGGTTAGGAAGGTGACTTTTTGTGGGGTGGCCGCCTGCCCCCGGAAATGGGGCTGAGATCCCATCTCCTTTCCCAGTGGCCTCCCAAATCCATTGGTGGCTGGCTTTCTCTGGCTGTCTTCATTCTGCACTGCCCTCTGCAGTCCTGGTGCAGTGCCTGTTCCCTCTGAACACTATGGTGTTCTCTCCCTGTAAAATCCCAAGAAGAGGAAGCATCAAATATGGTAGTTTCACAAGATGATTTCATGCCTCTGAATGGACTTGGGCCAGCTCAGTGTAAAAGTGAAATTGACTGACTTCTAGCATAGAATAAACGTACAGCTGGAAATACCTACTGGATCACCCATTTATCTCTCCCGACGCACTTTGAACCCGCCCTTGGCCAATGGTGTTTTCTTTAATAGCTGAGATCCTTAGAGTGGCCCTCTGTGAGGTCTTGCTTCCCAGTCAGGGTTGTCACTTGTAGCTTGCCAGGAACTGCCCCAAAGCCCCCTGTACTTCCAGTCTAGCAGAATCCTCTGCTTCTAGCTTTCTTGCCTTGATATGTTTGTATTGGCCCCCTCTTCAGTGAGCATCTACATCGCTGTCTAGTGGTCAGAGCTGGGGACCGGTGAGTCGGGTGATAGTCCTGGCTTTGCTACTGGACTCCCAGGCCTTGCTACACAAGAAGGGGTTTGCTGGTATACCAGCAAAAGGGCTTACACCCCCCAATATAACTGCATCTACACTGGGGTTTTGCCAGCATGACTGTATTCTGTAGAGGTGTATTTATTATTTTGTTCACACTCCGAACCAACACAGCTATTCCAGCAAAACTTAAGTGTAGCTGTAAATACACCTGGCACAGGCCACAGTAGGTCACTTTCCCTGCCTGTAAAACAGGGATTTGACTCTGAGGAGTTGAGGATTAACTAATTGTCCCTTGCAAAGAACACAGAGTTCTTCTGCCAGAAGGTGCAGCGAGGTCAAATGAGGCTCGCTCTGATAGATGTCCCCCCGGCTAGGAGCCAATACAGCTGGGGCTGGAGCCTCTGTCACCCTCGTGGGTGCAGCTTTGGCGTGATCGGGGCCAGAGGGAACCGAACCTGCCGCCCGAGAGAAGAGTGCGTGGAGGAGGACAAGCTCTGGGCAGTTTCTTGCCTCTTCTTGTTACAAGGCACATCCCTGTGCGGTGCTTATTTCTTTGTCCTTCGTCTGGTCTGGTGGGCTTTCACCCCGATGCTTCTCTCCGGCCTGATCGCACTCTGATCTAGAGACAGGGATGGTGGCGGCAAAACGTCCAGGCTCAGTATTGTAGTGGGAGGAGGGAGCCAGCAACTTGGTTGTACTTCCCCTTTGCAAAGGGGAACCAGTGTCCCTCAGAACAGCCTTGGGCGCAGGGGGGCTCCTTTCAGAGCCCACCAGCCCTGCCCCTTGGTTAGCTGGCACTGCTGCTGTAGATGGGCACAGCAATTCCTGGTCAAAAGTACAAACGAATTCCAAGTGTGTGTGTGCAGGAGTGTCTCCCTCTCCTCCACGCCCCCCGCCCCCCCCCCCCGTCTGCCCTCTTGTAATGCTGCAGAAATGCCGGGGGCTGGAGTGGTGCGGAGCGGGCCCATGGGCCAGGATGAGCATTGCAACCTCGCCACCGGCCTTCCGAATTCATGCAACCCCGTGGAGTCTGTCCTCGCTGCGTACCCCAAGAGAACGATGGGAATTCGGGGGCCGTTGGCCAATGGGGATGGAAAATGTGTGATTCAGGGGATGGCAAAAACCAAAGCGGGGGGGGGGGAGTGGCCCCCCTACTTTGTAACCCCCACCCCAAAAGAAATGCTGTCAGCGTGTGTCTAAGCAGAGACCTGCCAGGCTGAGCCAGGCAGGCCAGGGCTTCCTGTGCCGCTTGCGCGCACCATAATTACTGCTGCCGGCGTTATCCAATTACCTGCCTGGCACTTTCCTTTGCAGCTCATCTAACCCGGTCAGTTGTCGGCGTGATTGTTTTTATTTGGCTTGCCTGGGGAGGAGGGGGAACAGACACGTCCCCCCCCACTCCCCTGCACGCCCATGGCAAATAGCACAGGTGGGAAGTAAAGAGTTAAATCAGGCTGGGTGGGTTTAGAGGTTAAGCCAAGGGGCACGGCAGGGGGATACGTTCATTGGGGGAAGCCGTCCCATACCGGCTGAACTGCCCCATGGAGCAGGGCTCTGGTGTGTAACAACTCCTCGGTTCTCAGCAGGGGCGGGCAGAGCCCTGTCCTTGAGTGGAAACCCTGGCTTGTGTTCCCTGCCTGGCCACTGATTGAATTATAGTCCCTCCGGCCGCCCAAGGGAGAGGGCGCGCCCCAGCCTCGGGATGCAGATTACAGCACTTTATATAGCTAATGAGCAGCACTGGCAGCTGAACAGAGGAGCGTAATGAGCTCG